TAACGCACAGGTCGGCTCTGATCCTGGCCTGTGAGAAAGGCAGCGCCGAAGTGGCTGAGCTGCTCCTGAGCCATGGAGCGGATGCAGGGGCGGTGGACAGCGCGGGCCATGATGCTCTGTATTACGGCCTGCGCACACAGGACAAGGCACTGTGGAAGCTGCTGCAGCAGGCCCTGAGCTGGCGGCGGGGGGGTAAGCCAGTTCCCTTTTATATCTTCAAGATTCTCCCCAATGGCTCAGAGAAGCTTCTTAGAATCCCATTTGTCCTCATGGAAACAGTCCACCTGACAAATAATTGCCACTGTGGTCCAGAGTTTGCTTATTTATTGCTGCTGCTATGAGATGACCCCACGTTCCCAAAAGCAGGGCCACCAAGTTCCTTAACGAAGCCCTGTCTTACTCATGGCAGCTCTGGCTGGCGCTATCGCTAGGACTCCTGAGCTGTGATTGAACATCTCTGTGTGGTTTCCCAGTCAATCTCTCCCCCTGCTGGACTGTAAACGCCCCAGATGACAGGCCATGTCTGTTTTGTTCACTGTCGATGTCCTGGTGCCTATAACAGCGCCTGGTATAGTGTCCAATAAAGTGAGTGAACAAAATGAGTGAGCTGGGGTAGGGACCAAGGCTGCTGGGTTGAAGAGGAGTGGCTCCCGGCTCCAGGAAGGCTGTGTGCTGAGGGTTATGACACTGCGGCCACTCCTCTCAGTGAGAGTCACATTGTCCTCATGTCTTTTCATACAGGTCAGGGGCTAGTTCAACACCCAGATGCTGTGTCTAAGGTAAGACCCTAAGTGCCTCCCTTCCGACCCACCCAGGCCATCCCACCGGGATGCCTCCCAGGCGGGGACCCATGAGGGCATCAAGATGGTCTAAGCGCGGGGAGGCCCTCCCGGGGCTGGGACAGCTGCCCTGGGTCCCGTCAGTCACTCTTCTGTTTCCTACACAGGCCTCTCCATCTGAACCTCCGGTGGGTTCTCCGCCCAAGAGCCCCCGGGGAGCAGAGCCCGGGGTGGAGCAGGAAAAGGAGCGAGAGGATGTGTGCTCAGAGGAGTGGAGGTGGAAGTACGAAGAGGAGCAGAAGAAAGTTTCTCAGTTGGAGCAGGAGCTGGTGGGAAAGACAGAAGAGAGCAAGGCTCAGGCTGCAGCCTACCTGGGCCTGGCCAACCAGATCCGAGAGCAGGTGCAGGAGCTGGGGCGGCTGCTCTTCCGGGAGCCCAGAGCTCCAGGCGGGCCGAGTCCTGGTATCCGTCCTGGAGGGGATGGCATGGAGCAGGGCTGCCCCCTGGACCTGCTGGCTGAGGGCATACGGGAGCTAAAGAAGCAGCAGCAGGCAGTAGCCGCGGCCGCAGCCAACCCAGTGTTAGCTCCCAAGAAGACCGAAGACTCGTCCCCCCGGGAGATGTGTTATGAAGCCCATGGAAGGTCCCAACCAGAACAGGGGCCACCCCAGGGCCCAGTGTCTGAGATCCCGGGGGAAGCCACAGGACAGCAACAGACGACTGTCGGTGCGCAGGCCCTTGGCCCTGAGCAAGCAGACCAGCCGCATGCTGGCCGGAAGGAGAGGCCGAAGGCCCCAGGGGCGGAGAGAGCAGGCACAGCGGCTGAAGCAGCAGGCATAGCAGCCATGAACCAGCTACTGCTACAGCTGAGGGAGGAGCTGGCTGCCGTGTGGCGAGAAAAGGATGCTGCCCTGGGGGCTTTGTCAAGACCCGTCCTGGAGGGCGTTCTGGGGAAGTCCCGGGCGGAGGCCACAGCGGCCGCCTGGGAGAAGATGGAGGCCAGGCTGGAGCAGGTGCTGCTGAAGCTGGATCGGGCCAAGGCGGGGCTGCGAGCGACCCCTGCGACCCCTGCCCAGGAGTCCAGAGAAGGAGCCCCAAAGGCAGGCTCAGAAACCATCCCCGAAGAGGATGGGGAGAAGGAGACGGGGGCTCCCGGGACCCAGCGGGAGTCTCCAGGGGCCCCGGGCAGGCCGCAGACGCCGGGAGGAGGGCTGGCCAAGGGAATGCTGGAGAAGGAGGTGTCGGCCCTGAGACTGAGCAACAGCAACTTGCTGGAGGAGTTGGGGGAGCTGGGCCGGGAGCGGCAGCGGCTGCAAGGGGAGCTGCAGTCCCTGAGCCAGCGGCTGCAGCGGGAGTTTGTGCCCCGGCCAGTGGCGCAGGTCCAGCTCCAGCAGCTGCGGC